CTTTGTACAACTATTTTAATCCATGATTAGTTAAACAAAGTGTACAACAGAACATAAGAAAACATCCCTAACAAATTAATGCATACATGTCACTTTAAAAGATTATAATGTAGATTTTTAGTCTGAAAAAACTGTGGTATATGACATCTACTCTCTAGCAAAGAAAAAAAAAAAGGATGAAAAAGGAATGCCAATGCGCCAGTTTGTTTTCCAACCAAGCAAATGCAGATCAGGGTTATTATAGTTATACTTAAAACTACCAATGAAAAAGTGTCCTCATTAACTGTAATAAAAAATAAAAAGTCAGTTCTTGAAAATACTAAATCAAAACAATAACATCAACTGTACGAAATGAAATGGAATTACTGAGAAAAAAAATGGGGTTCTTGCTATTTGAGTTATTTTCAGTGTGAATGAAAGTTCAGAAGTGTCTCTTCTGTGTTTGGCTCTCTTCAAAGAAAGCTGAAGCTGAGCCAAGCTCAGTCTATCATTGTGTTAATTTTATTCTACTCTAATCAAAAACCGGCTATCACAGCGTTCATCATAATACCAAATACTAAAACTGAAACTGAAACTAAATAAAAACTAAACTAAAACTATTATTATCAGAAAGTAAAAACTAAACTGAAACTATTAATGTATCTTTAAAACTAACTGAAACTAAACTGAAATCAAAAACCAAAATAAAAAAAATAAATAAATAAAAAATAAAAATGAAACAAAATGAAATTTTCAACACTATGATAACCCCGATGCAGAGAACCACATGTTAATGGTGTTACTTGCCATCTGTGCAGAATAAAGTTATCATAAATTATCAAATAATATTGGAACTTTGCATAGCTGATAAATTATATATTCATTATATTAAGATAAAAGGCTCTGTAACGCTCATGTGCTACTTTGTGGTGATTGGTATAAGCAGTGGGCAACACTGCTGCTCTCCATGTGGCAGACTGGGGTTAGACTGCCCGTACAGGCAAGCACACCATACAATACCAATAAGAGTCCTTGGGCAAGACTCCTAACACTACACTCACCTACTTCTGTACCACGACTAAATTATAAGTTGCTCTGGATAACACTGTCTGCTAGATGGCATAAACACGTAAGTATAACCATGATGATATTGTTTACTGTGATAATCCTGCAGACGACAATCATTTGTCTAAATTACAACACATTCCTTTAATAAAAAAGCTCATTTCTGACACTGATCCCACCCAGATCTGCCCATCAGTAGTTCTGATTATTAAAACACACGGTTTTAAAGCTTTTAAACACCACTGATTAAATTCAATAAGGCTTCGGTCTTGTGCCAATGAGGAAAATAGTAAACTCTGGCAATTCAAAAATTCAAAGGTACCAAAACCTGTCTGTCACCAGAGCCTGCATCCTGTCTCTGCTCTCAGCACTTTCTCCAGCATCTTGTCATCTATTCTGAGTGTAGAACAGATGACAACACACACACACACACACACACACACACACACACACACACACACACACACAGCAGAAGTGTTCAGCCCATTAGACAGGAAGCTGCTCTGCTTCTCTCCAATATTCAACCGCACTACCGCAGCCTCTCTGGAGAGACGATAATTACAGTGTATGTGTGCACGTGTGTGTCTGTGTGTTTGTGTGTGTGTACGCTGTAGCGGGAGGAGCACACTTAAGACAGAAGGCACTCTAAAGCTGTGTATAATGAGAGACCCTCCACTCTGCTGAGTTCAAAGCCTACATCTGTGTATGTGTGTGTGGTGTGAGAATGCGTGTGTGTGTTTATCTGTCATGCACGCTGGTCTTTGTGCAGCAGCAGAGCCTTTGACAGCACCTGCATTCCACTGATATTCATTAACATCTCTCCCCACTAACCCCTGCAGAGAGAGAGAGAGAGAGAGAGAGAGAGAGAGAGAGAGAGAGAGAGAGAGAGAGAGAGAGGTATGCAAGAGATGATAAGGGCTGTAATGATGAGAAATGCTCACAGCTGAAGCCGATTGGATGAGATTCATAAGACTGAGCCATGACAGTCTCTCTCTCTCTCTCTCTCTCTCTCTCTCTCACACACACACACACACACACACATACACACACACACACACACACACACACACACACACAACCCTGAAAACTGAGAGTCTTGATGCAGGAGCTGATTCTTGATCCTTGATCCTCATCACAATGAGTCATTTAGACGAGATTACTGAATACTGAAAGCTCACATACTCATCCACCACTAAAGAGCAGCTGATTTAATATCATTCACCTCCCTCTCTCTCTCTCTCTCTCTCTCTCTCTCTCTCAACAGTGAAGCTTACTGCAAATGCTGATGTAATTAAATATCATGTCCACTGAGGATCAGAGGACCACGGGGGTGATCCACCTCCACCTCGACACCCACACAGCCCATTTGCTGCATAACACACTAAACAGACATGTTTCTGGCATATACAGTACTGGTCAAAAAGTCTTACGCACATGAGTGACCTGTTTAAAGCCAGTCATCTGGACAATAAGTGTGTTTCTGCTTGTGAAAACTCCATTTAACATTAGATTAAATGCAAACAAACATTAATGCAGTAAAAAGTCACAAGATTTTCTTTTCAGATGTTGTGAGCTGGTCAGAAGAATGCAATCGAATCACCCGGACTCATCATCGCATCACCAGCGTTCCTGATTTAATTTAATGAAGTATCAATTAGCCAAACAAGGTATTGAATGATAAGTACACTTAATGGTGGGCTGCCACAATGAGAGGTTTGTAAATGGTTAAATAAAGACATTAACATACATAAAATCACTTTATATTGTATTATTGTTGTTTGTATTTATAGTATACTATGCTAGAATAATACAAATATTTATATTATATTACAATCAATCATCAAATCACAATTCTATTTTGATTATGATACTTTAAACCCTTTCACTGATATTTCTTAATGTATTATTCATACCCATTGCTATATCCCATTGACTCTCAATCCTAGTCCTGGAGTACCACCGCCTTGTACGCTTCTCTCTACTCTAACACACTCAGTTCACCTGAGGAAGGGCTTGTTAAGCAGTTCATCAGCTGTATTAGGTGTACAGGGAGAAGAAAACGTACATGGCTGTAGTATTCTGGTACCTGGATTGAGAACTACTGCTATAGTTACATCCATGTAGATGAAAGAGCTACAAAAGGCAGTACATCTTATAAGGCTTCTTCACATTTGCCATGGTGGAGACACCTCCAGTGAGATAAGAGTGTTAACCATTATAATCCAACTGCATTACTGCGATACACTGTGATTAAGTTCGTTTCAATGACAATCCTATCTGTTTGAGAAGCGCTTCACCTGCACTATTTGTGTTAACAGCACTTTTTTTTTCCCCCAACAATAACTATCATTCTGCTGAGCACCGGTTGCTCAGTAACAATTCATGTTACGACGCAGTTAAACATGACGTTTTTCTACTTCAGCACATTAGAGCTGGTCAATATGGCAAAAATGTAACATGGCCATACATAAAAATATAACATTTTTTACAATACGTCACCATATGTATTTTTTCAGACATCTGATCAGTTGGAACAGAGAGAAAAGAACCAGTAGTGCTACATTTTAAAAATTGCTATCAAAAACTGTAAATAGAAAGATTTTTATGCAATATTTCACATACAGTGTTACACTAAATCCAGTTAAACGGGTCTAATTTTGCTTTCTTTATAATGAAACATGCAGTTGGTCAGTGTTTTACAAGTACTGATGATATGCATATGTTCAGAAAAGCATATTGTATTGTATTGATAACGATATATATATTGTCATATTGATTAGCCCTACATTAGATACCTTCTGTAAAATAATACATGACCTGCAGCCCATTTGTTTAGTTTCTGAAGAAGAGTGAGACAGCAGGCCTACATCAAGCAACGTGTCATCGCCCCCAAGCAAGCTTTTAGACCAGCAGCTGTGACTACACAACTGAACAAACTGGAATTAGCTAGAAATGAACAGAATATAATACAGCAAACAAGATTGGCTGTGAAATGCTCTACAGACTGAGTGACCTTCAGCTTCTGGCAAGTATACAAAAAGTTGAGCTGAATCTGATATTGTGTCAGTGTTGTGTCTGTGTTATCTGTAACGTAGAAGACTGCTACTTTCTAGCAGAAGTAATTTCCAACATTAAAGCACATTTGATACAATGTTCAGGGCTTCTTCGCTTTAGTTCTGTACTGCAGAGCTTTTGAATAAAAGCTACAGACCAAGAAAAGTTGTGTGTTATTTGTGACATACACTCTCACTTGTGTTCTACTGGCTTAAATACTGAACGGAGACACATGTATCATCTGTACTGCATCATGAGTTAATTAAGAAATAACATGATTTATTTAATCTCAATGGATAAATTAAGGAATTAATAAGCTAAATATATATATCTTTTTACTGTGAGGTGGCTGTCCCAAACCCTAACCCCTAAATTACAACTTGTGAAAATAATCATTTTTCCCCTCATTTTTTAAAAGATCATTTTGTTTTTTTAAGTCATGTTGAAAGATTTAGATTTTAAACGAGTTTAATTATTACATTGTTTTCAGTTAAGTAAGTATTTTTGCGTTTTATTAAAAGTATTATAATTATATGTGTATACAAATGTTCAAAGCTGTGTCATGTACTGGCTAGCGTTTTTGAATTATTTTCAAAATTAGCTAAAATTGTCACCACCGAAAAATTTGGTAAAATTTCGTTAGTGTCATGATTGTTTTGGGGGTGACAAAATGGACTGTTCAATCATTTGGTTTAATAAATTAAACATAATTAAGGTATAGGGTCATTCAAAGCAACAGGACTTAGTCTAAAGTCAAAGTTAAAAGTCGGAAATAGGTTGTGAACTTGAACCCACCGGGTAGACAATAAATTTAATGACTTTTCACTCTCTATGACCAACTCCTTTATGCTTGACAAGGACATTTTTGAGACTCCTTGTAAACTGAACCCAAGTAACTGTACCTCCTCCAGGCGTGTAAGGCGTGTTCCCTTTCAGCACAGCAGGATGATCTGGAGGAAGAGAGGAAGAACATTAATGCAGTAATGTATACTGTACCAAACACATCCATTAGTAAGTTAATATAGCCTGCTTAATGCTTTTACACAGAACCATGCAGAGGAAGAACAAAACATTGGTTACTTTGCTTAATGACGCTAGGATGCTGCTATTGATTCACTACTCTGTCTCTGTGTATGCTGCCATTTATCAGCAAGGCGGTGCTCAGGGATTTACATATTAAAGTAGACCTGGACCAGCCTGCCCACAGCTTCTACAGACACACTATCAAACGCACCCTTCACTAGAGACACAACATGTGAAAGCAAAGAAAACGTCACAGTAAACAGGGGGCCGACACTGCCTACCACCTGGAAACCCTGTACTTCTCTTTGAGTCCTTTGCGCCACTTGCCTTGGAGATTTTTTCTGCATTTTTTTCCTTTTAACAAACCAACAGGCCAGTGAAATTCACACATTCACAAATATCCACCATAAATAACAAAACATCTACTTGTTTGGTTAGACATGCAAATAACTAGCAAATCAGATTTTGTTAAATTTGCCAAATGTAAAGTTACCATGATATCTATTTTTAGTATTTTGCAAGCTTTCTCTTTTGTTAATTTTTACAGTTATAGACTTATCACTGTTTTAAACAATATTTTTTAAATAAAACAATCTGAAAAAGGCAATTACTTAATGATGGACATGATACTACACACTTCAAAAAAAGATTCTTGAAGAAAGTTCAAGGGTTCTTTAGTAACGAAAATGGTTCTATATAGAACCATGAAAATTCAAAGAACTCTGCATGCTTAAAGAGTTCTTTGCATCATTAAATAATAGAACATGCAGAACATGCTGTAGATGGTTCTATATAGAACCTTATAAAAAAGGTGTTCTAGTGTTACAAGTTTGATATTGTAACAAGAGAAGAACCCTTTTTGGAGCTGTATAGAACCCTTTTCGTTTTCATACAGAACCATCTACAGCACGTTCTCCATAAATCTGCAGAACTATTATTTAATGATGCAAAGAACTCTTTAAGCTTGCAAAGAGTTCTTTGAATTTTCATGGTTCTATATAGACTCATTATCTTTACTAAAGAACCCTTGAGGAACCATCATTTTTAAGAGTGTAGGCTTTAAAAACATCAGGTCATACACAGGTAGTCTTAGCTTAAGGCTGATCATAGCCACATTCCAATTTTGGAGTATCACCCCTTTTCTTTGAAAGACTGAAGCAAGACATTAAATATTAACATGGAAAATAACATTTAAACAAAGAGAAATAATCAAATATGTGTTTAAGTGTTTGGCTATGTTTTGACCGTTAGCGACAGTCAGCCGAGGAAGCCGAGCGTGTCCTGAGTCACTCGTACAGCCGCCACAGGGCTGAGAGATGGAGACAAAACAGAGATAGCAGGTTGGCTAAATGGTTTTGCTGATCCCTGTAAGGTATAAACAGCTTTAAATCAATATAAAATAAGTATAATACACTAAAATAACTAAATGAATGACTATCCATTCAGTAAGCCAGCTAAACTGACTATAAAAACAAAGATGTTAAAAGATTTAAGTCTTTCTGTATCAAGCAAGCAAAAACAATCAGGCTTATCAGACTCCTTATCTGAAATACTGTAATAGCTCATCTGTCTCAAGGCCTCCGAACATTTTTTTTAAATATTTTGAGAATGAGTATTCAAGTACTAGTTTGAAAACACCAACTTGTAAACCACTGTTCAGGCCAGCCCGACTGTTTTTTGTGCCTGATTCTGAGATGGATGTGGTGTTCTGTCAGACATGTCAGTTTCCACAACAGGCAGACCACACAGGTTTATTCTTTAACAGGAGAAATTTGCATAGAAAAGACAATATTCAAAAACACAGTCACAGATTTTAACACAAGTCCTGCGCACTGATCTTCAGTGATCAACAACCGAACAGAGTAACAGGACTGACTCCCTGATTTGACCAGAATACTGAGAAAAACAGAGTGTAAAAAAGCAACACATGGCTGTTTTTTGATTCTGAAACACGCCTGTTGAGCATAAGAACAAAGTACACACAGTAAACATGTTTTTAGAATTCTGGCCATAAGATTCACAGGCTTAGTGGCCCGAGTGGCCAGCGCAAACTTTTGTATCTGTCTTTATTTGACAGCAACAAAAGTTGGTACATAATCAAAGGATTTTAAGCAAAGCTAACAGAATGCAAGTGTTCATATTAGCACTCTACACTGGTCATACTGGTAATGAAGTGTTTGAGGCAGCTCTCCTTAAAACCTGTTAAAGTAGTCTATAAAAGCAACAGCCATTTGTGTTTGGCTGTGATTCAGAGCACTAACCAGCCTGAGAGGAGAGCGCTCTCTCTCTCTCTCTCTCTCTCTCTCTCTCTCTCTCTCTCTCTCTCTCTCCTTCAAGAGAGTGGTCACGCTATTGTCTCTCCTAAGAACATTTGGATAAACTCATCGTTCCTACATTACTGAGGATACGCCATCTGCTTGCTGCACTCCCTGTGGTACATCGCAGGCGTACGCGCGCACACACATACACAGTCCATGGAACGTTTTAATAAGGAAAATCAGAGAACTGTAGATATTGTGGAAATTATAGAACAGACCAGCAGTCTTCACTAGTCTCTGAAGCACAACACTCCTTAGCACAGAGCTATGGGAGATCGAAAGCACTGGTGTGTGTGTGTGTGTGTGTGTGTGACTGTGGAGCTGGTGAGAAGCTAATATAAACTGAGAGTGAAATCACCAACCTAGTTGCTATGGCAACCTCAAACAAACACACCCTCCCAAAATCTCTTTTATCTTTCCTAATTTCCCTGAAATTCAGCCTGACCTTGAGTCACCAGCGCCTGCCTTATAACCTCACCTCTTACCACAATTATGAACAGCAGTAATCTTTGTCTGGTTCACAGATTAAGTGTTCATCAGTGTTAAAACGTCTCGCACTCTGCATCGGCTCATAAGAGCTTATCAAGGCCCTTCTGCCTGATTCAGGGTGCCCCAAAGTACATGGATTTGGGTGGTAGAAAGTTGCTTTTGACTTGTTCCGATTCATTTGTTACAATCACACAGACTATTAGTGTTACTACAGCAGCATTACCCTTGTAGACATGGTTCCACATTAGAAACGACTTGGCAACTTCATTAACAACTGAAGGCCTTGGTCTTGAGAATACTGCAAGGGTGGATGTCAGAAGGATAAAACCCTGTCTTTACAAGGTGAAACTTACACACACTTCGGCTGCTTAATACATAAATGAAATAAACTTTCATTTGCACTGCATAATGTAAAGCCTCCTGCAACTCACTTGAAACCAGCCACAACAAATATAACTATCTCAACTTCGTTCCTTTTCACATAAAAAATTACACAAAGATGCAAATGTACGTTAGATAACACATCGCAAGTTATCTTATGTAGCCAAAGCAGTAAAGTTGTGTGAAGTATAATAGCTATTGATCTTTTTTAGCTTCTGAATAATCTAATATGTTATATGCAACTTCCGTATCTTTTTTAAATTGCGTTGAGCAATTAGTCACATGAAATGTCACCATGGAAAGCCAGCCTTGGGACAACAGCAGCGTGCAATATCCATTTGCTACATGCTACAGACCAAGCCACTCTTCAGAAACAACAGACCATGCTCTTTCCAAAAACTACAGTAAACCATTCTCATTCCACAACCAACAGACCTTCCAGCAACTCAAGCACTCTCAAGAAACTGTACATCGAGCCAATCTCCCGAAAATTAAGACAAACCACTGAGCCACTCACCAGATTCAAAGCAACTGTGCCTAATTGCTCACTACTTACTGTAATGGGAGTGTTGAATTAACTAATTTTTCATCATAATGCATCTCTCCATGGGACAATTAACTCAACACAAAGAGTCTGAAAGCACTCAGAGAGCATAAACAAAATGAGATCAAGGAGCTGCATAATTCATTCTCATGAAAAGTTTTCACAATGTAAAGATCTCCAAGGTAACCTGAGAGGAAAGATGGACTAGACAAAGAGAGAATAGGAGAGGTACAGCAGCAGTGCTTAATCAGTCTTAACTCTTTAAATCATACATAATCATCTTTTTCTCACTAAGCTCATTATAACTTTAGCCTGTGGGAATTCTGGACTTTAAGTGAATTGACCAATCAGTGCTCCGCCCATAAATGCATCCTTTTGTAGTGACTGTTGTGAGGTCTAAGGAACGCTGAAATTCTTATGAGAAACTGTAGCACACAATTTTGTTGTGTAAACACTCTAATATTAGCATGTTGGCAAACTCATCACTGTCTTCACCAACCAACCTAGTCTCAATCAGCTACAACATAGTTCAACTCTGAACATAGCATTTTAAACTGAAAACTCATTATTACATAAAACGCTAAACAAAGATCACTTAATTTCTCATTAGACTGAATGAGATTTTTGCCAGCATCCTGTAAAGCTTGTCCAACTTGGCAACAGTTGCTACTCAAGAAACGTGGACTTATTCGTTGGCTGGGCAGCAGGTTGCTACAGTAGAACGACTAGCAGCATCAGCACAATGGAGAACTGCTATTGAATAGCTGAGTAGCACAATTACCAACTTGTTCAAACTTAGAACTAGACTTCTACGCTCTGCTTCATGCCCAGAGAACAAATGAGCTTTGCTAATTTTTCTCTCTCACTGTGGACTCAATAGATTCCTTTAGTGAATTAGAGATCAAAGCCGCTTTCCTCCGGGTATGAATGAAAACGAGAGCAGCGCGCACACACACACACACACACACACACACACACACACACACACACACACACACACACACACACACAGGCATCCCTGCACAATGATCGGTGGCATCCACACGTGAGAGTTGCATAAGCTTCCTCATCTTTCTCATAACACCTCCTTTGGTATTCTTCAGCCTATTCTCTCTCTCTCTCTCTCTCTCTTTCTCTGGTTCATTTATGAATGTAAATTGGGCTGTAGAAGGCAATGGAGACTTTGGCAGCTTAG